TTTTACCAGATTTATTGGTATGTTACTAAACAGTGATATAACATCCAAACTTATAATTTCGAAATTTTCAGGTAGTTTTATTCCTTGCATGAAAATAGAAAATTCAAAAGAATCTTTAATATAATATCGATTATTTGTATTATATGCATTGGTTAAAATTTCTGTAATGAACTTTGAGAGTTTACTAATTGGTGCATCAATGGATGATATGATAGGTCTCAAACTCAATATTGGTTTATGAATTTTTGGTAAACCATAGAATTTTGGAACAATGGAGGTATATATGGTAAAATTGGTATTACTGTGAACATATCACGGGTGATAACAGTTATCACCCGAAGACGATTGTGGATACTAACAATCGAATCGTCGTGACGTTACTTGGGATTTCAAATCAATTCATATTATATTAGTCAATGGAAGTCCGAACTGAAGAAATACACCACGAAACATTGTCAACCACCTTCAAATATTCAGAGGATTGCTACTCAATGAAGTGTATGAAAGAGAAAAACTTTCACTCACGAGTACATGGAACACTGTTATCCTCAATGACAGTGTTCCATTACATTGTAACGCATTTATTTATAGAATCCTAAGAATACCACCACCCAGAACAAGGAAAGGAACATTATATACCAAATAGCAAACGAGAACGGATATACCCAAAAGACAATAGATGAATTAAAAGAATAGAATCAAACAAAAAATACAGAACAATGATGAAACTACTCCAACAGATAAAAAAACACAAAGATGAACTGCATTCACATACATAGGTCATCAAACCTAAAAATTAACAACCATCTATAAACCCTTGAACATCAATGTCACTTACAAGCTGAAACCGAAAATAACACAAAAAATAAACAGCTATGAAAAAGAAGAAGACGAAAACCTGAACGAAGCGTACAGCATGCAATGCTTGGACTGCAACAAATTCTATATCGGCCAAACCAAGAAAAAAACTGATCCAAAGGTATGACGANTAAAAAGGTAGACTTAAATATTTTCAACTATATATTAAAACAGAAAGATATAATTATTCAAGAACTCAAGTTTGAATTAATGAACCGGGGTATACAACAAAAACTGCCAGAACTTAAACTGCCGGAACAAAAACCACATGAACAAAAACTGCCAGAGATTAAAGAAAATAAAAACTTAACAACACAGAACATAAATTCCAATAAAACGAAGATTTCTAGAAAAAATAATCCTACTCATCCAAACAATAACAAACTGAAAAAATTTTTACCGGAAAAGGATTCTCTTCCCGTGAAAGAAAATGAATTATCTAACATTGTTTTACAGAAACAAACAAAAATTAAACTGAATGAGATTATACATTTAAATGATGATGCTGAACCTAAAGCAACAAGCTCACAGGCATTAGATCAAAATAATTGGGTTAAAGTCAACAGCAAAAAAAAGAATCGCCAACAACGATTGGTTATTGTTGGTAATAACTCAAATGTTGATATCAAGGGAGTCCCGAAATATGTAACTCTACACGTGTACAGATTGGACAAGAGCACTACTACTAGCTCTCTCTCAACATTGCTTAAGAAACACTTTCCGGAAGTGACTTGTGAAAGCCTAACACCCAAGTATCCGGACTTGTACTCCTCATATAAAGTTACTATTTTCGCTAATGATTTCAAGACGGCAATGGATCTCAATGTTTGGCCACAGGGGGCATGCGTGAGTCGTTTTTTAGATCTAACAAGGAGGTCTCAAATGAAGACATAATATTTCACCCATCCCTGTTTTTGGCTAATGTTTAGTGCATTAATCAGACTAAAATAGACAGTATTTTATTAGATATACAAGATTTCAATATTAATATATTGTGTTTGACAGAGACGTGGTCTTCTGCCTGTTCGCTACAATCATACTACTTTTATGGTTTCCATTTGTCCAGTTACTCTAATAGAGCACAGATGAAGGGTGGTGGTGTTGCAATATTATCAAGAAATGTTTTAAATACTGTTGATTTAGATCTATCTGAATATTATCTGGAGTAGCATTTCGAGATATGTGGTAATATCATGTATACTGAACCAGCGACAAACAATAATATTGTGTATTTACAGAACCCCTTCCCCTAAGGGGGATCCAGATTTTTTTCTGGAAAAATTATATGATGTTCTCGAATTTTTGTATAAACCAAATGTAAACTTCGTTGTGGCAGGAGATTTCAATATGGATTCATCAGTGAATTCAGGATACTTTGATAAACTTTCCAGTATGATGAACTGCTTCAACATGAAGTCACTTGTTAAGTGGCCAACCAGAATATCATCTGGAGCTAGAGCCTCATTAATTGATCATATATTCAACAACAATTATAATAATGGGGTATGCCCTGTTTTCGATAATAATTTTTCTGACCATCATTCCATCCTATTCGACCCCGGACTTCCGGTTGACCAGCCAAGATCAATCAGCACATTTAAGCTAAATTTTTCCGAGAATACAATAACTTCATTTGAATTTGACATCTGTAATGAAAATTGGAAGTCTCTTTTCACCATGGAAAATATGGAAGGTGCCTTTCAATATTTTTTAGAAATTTTCGGGTACTATTTTGATAAACATTTCTCTAAAGTTAAACAATATAAACATCACCGTACGAAGCAGCACAACTGCAAATGGATTACTGACGATATTAAGAGGTCCAGCATACGATTAAAGGACATGTTTGTGCTTAAAAGCCAACATCCTCTATTGAATGATTTCTACAAAGCAGAAAAGAAAAAACACGAAATCTTAGTACATAACTCAAAACAAAACTATTTTCAGCATAAAATAAATAATTCAGACAACCCTACTAAGGCAGCATGGAGTGTAGTGAATGAATTAACTAATAAATCGCGCAAGCAATCAATCTCCTCCATAAAATATGAAAATGAAATATTTGAGTCTCCTGACGAAATCTCTGAGATATTCAGCAATTTTTTCAAAGAAGAACCACTGAAATTAATTTCACAAATTGAATCGCTTGATGAAGATATAGCTAATCAATATTTAAAAAATATTGAAATACAGTCTAGTTCTTTTGTCCTACTTCCGTTTAATGAACATGAACTATTTGTCATGCTCAACAGAAAACTGAAAAATGAATTTTCCTCTGGATCGGATGAAATACCCCATGTGATCGTTAAACGTGTTCTTAAACATATTATGACACCACTAGTCTATCTCATAAATTTATCATTTGCAAATGGAACATTCCCGCAAGCTTTGAAAAAATTACACCTGTATATAAAAAAGGTGACTCCTCTCTAATAAGTAACTATCGACCAATTACGGTACCCTACATCTTTTCCAAAATATTTGAATTATCTCTTGGAGAGATTGTTATCTTATTCCAAGCATTTCAATATCATAACTGCGGATCACCATGGTTTTGTGCAAAATAAATCGACCACAACTGCCATACACTCATATGTTATATGTTCTTGTGAAGTCATTAAGTGCATTGATGCGGGTGAGTGCCCTATTGAGGTATTTTGCGACCTAAGCAGGGCGTTCGATTGCATCAGTCATACAATCTTATTGAATAAACTATCTCGGTACGGTATCCGAGGTGTCACTTATGAATGGATAAAAAGTTTTTTGAGTAAACGTAACAATCGTGTCACTATTGGTAACCATATGTCATCGTGCAATGATTATTCTAAAGTAGGTGTTCCTCAGGGTTCGGTCCTAGGACCTACCTTATTTATACTTTATCATCGATATTGTGGAGATATGTGATAGCTCAATCATTGTTTACGCTGATGATACATCAGTTATTGTATCAGATAGGGATGAATATTGTATACGTCAGAAATGTAAAAAAAATGTGTTCGAAAGTAGATTTTCCTTACACGATGCTCTGCTTCCTACTATATAAATATTGTTGTTGATTTTTACCTGAGTTCTTCTTTTTGATTGACCTCTTCTTCCCGTAAAGATTTGAAATGTTGAATCTAAATCACTCTAAATAAAAATAACTGAAGTAGTGTTCTTGGTTATTCACTTTTTGTCTACTCTATTTTACAAATGGCCAAGCTTTCGTCTCTGAATAGAGACTTCGTCAGGATGGAGTGGTCTGAGTTTTACAACTGGAAATAATCATAAAATGAAAAAAAAAATTTGAAAATTATAGCAATATTCCATTTTTGTTATTTAGTTGGAATGTGTGTTCTTCATGAATTAGGGAGTTCAGATTGATTTTAATAATTTTTTCATCATATTCATCTATTTTCACGTTTCGTTTCTATTTATTTTCAAAAGTTTTGTTCAAGCTCGTTGCATCCCATATTTCAAAAGAAACCCAGTTTATTATATCACTTACGTACTCGCATCATAAAGAAATAACTGATGAGCTATTTACTATATCAGTCTTTCGGGATTTTGATTAACGAGACATTGATTAATTGTACCGTAACATTTAAACTACTACTATTACTCACCACATCAAAATAGGTTAGCTGTCTCGGATTCATGAACTTGGCTGCACTTCTGAGCTGAAAGGACATGTGCGTTAAGTAAGCTCCATATACAAGTTTACTCAGTGGTATCCATGGCGACCATGATAAAATTTTTTTCAGATAGGATGCATGACCATAACTAGCGACGTAAAACAAGCCAGAAGTTCCTACGGCCCATCCTAGTCTATGAAAAGCTGCATAAGTAGCTGATTCTATGGCGTTGTATGGGTGGTAAGGATTGTAAAATATTTTAGCACTGAATACAGACACCATCATTATGCAACCAGATCCAAGAACGATAACAAACGTTTTCATCTGTAATGAATTCACGTAGAATGGAAAAATTGCATGAAATTTTACAGTTTCAGTAGAGTTGATTTTAAACAATAAAACAAACGTATGACATCAACTGAGAACAATTTCATCCATGAATATCAGATCAGATGGACATGATATTAAGGTCAAACTAAATTCGTGATCATTTCGAATAGTTTCTGATGCAATGTGTTGCAATAGTTTTGCAACACATTTTCATTTTTCGAAATCGGATCAGCCGTTCCTGAGAAATGTACTTTTATATTCGATTTGGGGATTTGCGAGCAAACGATACATATCATAATAAAAAAATGTATGAATTGAAGGGGTTATATTTTTAGGAGTGATAAATTTTTGGGAAAAAATGATGAGGAAATCTTCCAAAGAGAGGAAGGGAATAATCAATTTGAAAATAAGTAACTCTATACATGGATGTGTAGATCATGCAAAGAAGTAACTTTCAGACACAAACTGAAAGGAAGTCCTCCTGAAACAGCTACTTTCCTATAAACATTGAATTACACAAAAGAAAAAAATCCTTTCGAAACAAATACTTCTATATGAACACTGAATTATAAAGAAGATACTTTTCTCTACTCAGTTTGTATTCCAAACATTCGTTATGGAACATTAGTTCTACTTTAAATGAATGGTAACAAATTGCACTTACATGGAACACTGTCATCCTCACTGGTATACATCGATATTTCGCCTTAAGACACTTGCCCTAAGGCTCTTCAGTATCAAATTGGATAACATCATAGAAAATACACACAATTCATTCATGAATTACGATTTTTCAATGTCACGTAATAAGCTCGAATAAGCAGATCAAGTGCATCATCCTTTTTTTGTATCAAGTAACTGGCATTGAAACAAGCCAGCTGACGAAAATTGTGGCGATAAGCTACACCGTTCAGAAATAAACTACACTAGTTTGTCAAACATACATTGAATAGTAAGCCACTACTTGCCATCGCTTGTTTCCTCACAATTTAGCAAAGTTGCATCAAAGTTATTTTCATTCAGTTCTTGCACTCACAGTATCTCATACGGATGGTACAATGGTAATAGCCGGGATCTTGTGCGACTTAAGCCCGTCACAGTTTCCAATCTTCTTGTAACTGTTTTCAATTCACTTGTACAATTTTTTTGAACTTCCTTAGCTTCACTGAGTACCAAATTTACATTTTGCCACATTTCATTCTGAAACGATCTAGTTTCGTAAAGGTTTGCCACTAATCCACAAACAGTTTTTCCAGGAAGATGTGTGTCAAGCCGTTGGGTGAATATCTCGGCAATTCAATTTCCACATTCATATTTTCAAAAAAATCCAATCATATCCACCCATTCCATCATTAAGTACCTCATTACTGAATTCAACAACACATTAAACACATTTCAGTACATAAACTGGACTTTACTGAATCTTTTGGCAAGCAAAAAGCCGAATTTACTGAACGATAAAAATCATTATTTAAATCAATATGATAGGTTTTTATTCATATTCGATTGACCTTTCGTATTTTTAGAAAAAAGTATCAAAACTTCATATCTTCCAAAAGAGTTGGCTGATTTTCAAAAGCAAACAGGAATTAATACGAAATCGAAGCCCATTTTCAATATGGTATCAGTCGATACAGATTCATATTTGAAGAAAATTGAGGAATAGCACCTCCAATCAGTAGATCAAAAATTTTGCAATGGTTATTAGGTCAAAACTTGTCCCTCTTAAAAACGAATTTGAAGGTGTTTGGAGTTTTGCGAAAAGTTCTTTCCATGACAGTTTTGCCTTGCGTGACCTTTTTGATGGGCTACTCTGCATAAAATTTTCCTGTTTTGAAGTTCATACCAACATGCTTCTTTTAGTTACTGGTGAATATACGACCAAAGATGGAGTAGTAGAAAGCCAAAAACTTTCTTCCCCAAAAATAAATCACTCCTAAAAATATAACCCCTTCAATTCCAATTCTTTTTCTTCTTATAAACTAAAGCTAATTATGGAAAACTTCAATAAGGACCTGAAATGTTTCGATATCACAAACATCTAATGCTCCTAGTGTCGTACTACTTCTAGAGGTTTGATAAAAACCTAAACTTATATGTCTAACTTCCATTCCGGCTCTCGCGGCGTTTATTACGAGTATTATACGCATTATTTTTCAAGAGAAGACCAAGACACCAAACCGTTATTTTCAATACCTCAACACGTGTTTCAATCACTAAGTGATCATCTGTTCATGCTTCCTCTTGAAAATGATCACTTAGTGATTGAAACGCGTGTTGAAGTGTTAAAAATAACGGTTTGGTGTTGGGTGTTGGGATTGAACTTCAGTAATATCCATTACGACACCAAAGGTTCCAAACAGTGCATCATGCTTACTGATCAAGGCGCACTACGGCACCTATTGCAAAGCCAAGCATCGATTGTATTTCGTTCTCTAGGTTTATCTAGTTGTCCTGCAGTGGAAATTGCAGAAAAGGTCAGACAGCTTATTTTCAGTAGGCGGTCTATGTCGAAGCTTGACTTCACAATAGACCGCGGTAAGTAGCGATGTTGTACCACTGATGAAACCTGTGGCAGTTCGAAATAGAGTTGTCTATTGTGAGACCACGAATGCTTTGTTTAAAGATGTGGTTCAACTAAAATGAACTAGTGTTGATTTCGACCTCCAAAAGGATCCATTTTTCTCCACTTCAAGCTTGTACAGAGTTCCTGAAATACTTTTAGGTACTCGGATAATTCACCTTAATGGAAGATAGCATCACAAGCAGATGCCTCAGTGTATTTCTCCAGTACCTTTTTGATGGTTTCCGGAATATGCAACTTCTTTTGTGAAATCAGGAAAGATACGTTCATTCACAGTTTCGAGTCAATGCTAGCTCAATTTTTCAAAAATAATGCATATTGGTTATTACTGATTGACTTTTGATTCAAACATCGCGGGAGTCAAAATGGGGGTTGAACATAAACGATTGAGTTTTTTTTTAACTTTTGGAACTTCATCGACGTGTGATACCTAACTGAAAATAAAGGTTTGTGATTCTCAGTGAAGTTTTCGAGAATCAGCTGTATTATCTCAAAACAGTTGGAATTTCCATTCTAGCGATTATCAGGGACGTATAAAAATAATAATTACTCATTTGATGATCATTAAATCGCAAAATTATTGAAAATATCGAAGTGAACGTTGATTTTACAATATTTGAACAGTGCCGTTCAAAAAATTGGCTACAAAGAATATAGGTCCGTATCTGCTCCATGTCGGACAAGCCTGTATAAAAATTCTATTTGCATTACAGTATTACAATGAGAGTTGCTATGTTGCTGTGCATTGACTGAAATACCGCAAAAATAGAGTAATTTTCTGTATATCTTCAGTATCAAAAAGCTAAAGTTGATTTTTCAGTTTCATTCAAAACGGTATTCGATAATAGACAACTTGACCACAATTCAAACTATCCTCTGTATTTTACCATCAACAATATCTTAAATGAATATAATCGAATTTGAATAGCTCTCTATATTTCCAAATGAAAAAAATATTTTTTTTTGTATACGCAGCTTCAGTAAAAAATATAGTTCAAATACTCACCCTACAAATGTGCTCATTTGTATTTTTCAATTTGTAATATACGTATCCAGCAATCATTCCGACAAAATATGGTGTTGCTCTCGTATGTGATTTGCTATATGTGAGAAGGAAATCTATGTATACTTTTGGTCCAGTCAGAAATTCGGGATAAAAATACATCAAGCCTGGTCGCTGATAAATTATTGTGATCGCAAATGGGATGGCCATCGAGATTACCATGAATAAAATAAGTATTCCAAGACCCATTTTCTTCTCTTTCTTGATGAGGATACATAAGAATATCGCAATAATGAAGTAGTGAAAGTCGCAAGGCAGATACCAGGAATGAGTCATGCACTGAAAAAAGAGACAGTGTAAGGTGATGAAAGTGTTATTCAACGTGTCTGAGATATTATAATGAATATTATTGGGGTTCTATTGAGTCAAGATGAAAATAAATAATACTGGTGGTAGGTATTGATTATAGGGTCATATTTTCTTGAATATAATCACCTCAATTCATTTAAACGATAAAACAGTTGAATGCTATGTAGCGTTTGTAGAGTTTTACAGCGATTAAATGTAATGGATCTATTTAATCGATAAAGGATCTTCCGTAATTGGAAAAATGTGATCCATAACGTAATCACTTTCTTGGTTTACGATAAATTAGAAGAGTATGCTAACTGTGTGCTAATTGTTTCTTTTTTCACCATTTTATTCGCGATGTCATTTCCCACGTCTTTTTATAATTACTTGAGTTTTCATGTAACTTCTGTTTGTAATGTTGATTTATCGTAGATTCAATTAATTCATTTGATTTATTTCTATATTGAGTAAATTCATGTTTTAACTTATCTGGGTATTATTTCTTCAATCTTTTTTCATGATATCTCTTCTTTTTACCGATTTTATCATTATTTTTTGATATGACTTTATGTTTAGTTCCTGGGTTCACATATTGCTTCAATTTGTTGATAAAATCATCATAAAAACCTTAGCAATCTTCGTATTTGTAAGATATCAGTCTATGTTTCATTGGTTAGGATGCCTTCAATTTTTTTAATATCGATATTTCCACGTTTGGTTCGGGAAGCTATATTATTTTGACCAACGTTGCGGATACATAATGAAGTTGTGTAATGATCAGAGAGACTGGTTTCAATAATTGATGAGTTGAAAAAATAATTTTATGGGTTTGTACAGTTTTTAACAAAAATGAGATCCAGATTACTATTTGATTCATTTATGTATGAAAGATAACCATTGTCTGTTGAAATGTTGACTTTAATGAAATGAATAAGAACACTTTTGTCTTATTACCATCAGTTGATTTTATTTATAAGACTGGTTTCGAGTTTGATCCCATTATCAAGTATAAAACTAAGATGTAAAGTTTTTAGGAACTAACGGGACTTTCAGTCAAACACGTTCAAAAAACCAACTTACCTACTCTATTTCATATATCGCCAAGCTTTCGTCTCTGAATAGTGACGTCGTCAGGACGTAGTAATCTGAGTTTCCTAATTTAAAATTATATTTTGACAAAAACATTTCAAAAAATTGACGCATTGATATTAATAATGTCATTTTCAGATATCTGATAGTAGTAATATCAGATATGACCTTTGAAAACGTGATTGCTGAGAGCACACCTCTCAGGATATAATCTTCTACCACTTTTGTAAAGAATATTACTGGAGTTTTTTCCCAACACCAAATCGTTATTTTCAACACTTCGACACGTGTTTCGATCACCAAGTGATCAGCTTCAAAGAGGAAGAGTAAAACTAAAGACTAGTGCGAGCTAATCCTATTTATGCTATACAGGTAAACCATCCAGGGATACCACCTTAATTTAAAGGTTCCAAACAGTGAATCATAAGTATATACATTGTATGTTGTCATAAGTACCACTTTTGTGTGAAGTGATTCTATCTTCAAGTAGTCTTGACCTTTTGACCGATATATTCATTACTACAATACAAACATGGTATGGAGTATTAATCACATTTTTGAAGAAGGTCATATCATGGACTAAAATGCAATCAAAATCTTAGCAATTGAAATAGATACTTCTCAAAGGTTGTTTTTGAAAATGTCATGTATATGAAAATCAAATAAATGCCCCAACAAAAGATCAGACATTGATCACCTCATGATGTTCAGATCAGCAATAATGCTGAATTCTCATTTACTCATAACTCACAAACTGCTTTATCATCTCTCTCTCTCTCTCTGTGGTCTACAGCCACATGGCTTTCACCAGTATTTTATAATTTCAAACCATATAACGATTTTATTATGTAAATTTAAATATTTCTCCCTTATATTCAGTGGGGAGTCAAACCTTTTTTAAATTGGTGACTTGTTTTATTTTATTGACATATTTCAACTGTTTGAATGTAATATTCTTTTCGACACGGCCATCCTCACTAACAGTAAGCTGTACCTTTTTATAACAAATTTTATATTATTGTTCAAAAAAAAATTTATAGCTCTTTCTTGATAATGATAATAAACTTTTATCGAAATATTGGAATAACTAGTGTTATAAGAATACACTTCCGTTCTGCTGATCGCCCAAAGATATGTACTGTGTTTCAATATATATTTATATTGAAGGACAGTGTTTGCTGACTGGTTAGAAACAAAACTACAAAACTTGTGATTAGTTGTAATATTTATAGGCTGGTCAGAATTTTTAATTGTGATCTTTCAAATAGGTCTTTCATGTTGACAGTGGATGGACATTGAACATAACTCCTAATATTTTTTTTCTGTGATCTAAATGCCTCATCAGCATGTAGCGAGAAACCCCAGAATACTAATCCATATTGTAGAACTGGCTGAACAAATCAATAATATAGTGATTTAAGTACATTGAAAGAAACAGGTTCTCTGAGCTGCCTTTTTATGTAACAACATGTGCTCAGTCTGGAGCAATATGGGCCTCCCATGTTCATTTTTGATCGAGTGTAACACCCAAAAATGTTATTGTTTCTGTAGCTTCAATTGAATTTCCATTGATATATAGGTAAAGATTTTGGTCAGGTGTAATATACCTTGGTAAAATCCGCATAGAATATGTTTTCGTTGCATTCAATTGCAGGCCGTTCCGAGCACAATATTCATTAAGCTCACTGAAGGCTCCATTACTATTCACAATTAATTGTTCAATGGCCCTGTTTGACATCAGTATATTTGTATTATCAGCATACAGTGAGATTTGTTAAGGATAATTGCAGTATTTTTTTATGTCTGATATGAATATTGTGACGAACAAGGGTCCCAATATCGAGCCTTGGGATACTCTAAGTTTGTTTTCTCTTGTTTGCGATTTTGAGTTGTCATACACTGTTATTTGTGTATGCTCAGATATATAAGACTTCGCCCAATCAAGAATTACTCCACACACACCGACAGCTTCTAATTTGAGCAACAGTAGATTTCGGTCGATTGTGTCAAAGGCACGACTCTTGTCGTAAAAATTATTATTGAGTGCTTTGTACATAAATTTCGCTATATCATGAACAGCAGTTGTCGTGGATAGTTTTTCTCTAAAACCATGTTATATATCAGGAAAAAGCTTGAAACTTTCCGAATAATTTGTTATTCGCTAGCAGTATGCTGACTCAGAAATTTTAGAAATCTGAGTTTGAATGCAAATCAATCTATAGTAGATGATTGCACGCGCGTATCTACCATGTATCAGCAGCAGAGGTCTATCACATACCGTGCACTTGTAGGAAAGTATTAATCGGAAACACCAGAAGAGTCATGGGACCAAGGCTGAAAGAGCATGACAGAAACTACAGGCTGTCTGGGTCAAACGGATGAGTCGTCTTTGGCAGAACATGCACTCAGTGAAGGAAACCACAAGATTCTGTGGTTTAATTCACACAGAACTCATTGCCTCCAACCAGGGATATCATAGCTGACTGGTATGGAAGCCAATAGGGATCCACAAACACACGAATAATTTCAACAAAAAAGAAGAATCGATGAACCTCAATCGAATATGGAGTCCTATTCTGAGAATTTCATTAATGGAAAACAGGTTCGGACTTCCATTGTCCAATACGATATAAATTGATTTGAAATCCCTAAAAGAATCGATGAAAAATTCAAAATATTAGCTGAGAAATAACAATTTTATTGGCCAAAAATCTCGGTGATGACCGACAGCCATCACCCAAAGACTATTCTGGATACTAACAATCGAAACGTCGTGAAGTTACATGGCTTGGAATCTTTCAATTATATTACTTCTCATTTCTTGTTAATAGTTTTTCATTTTCAGCTTGTGTTATACGTTCAATTTTTTTATTGTAATTTCAGTTTTTTTGCTCAATATAATTGTTATTTTTCTGCTGATCTTTTTAATTTTTTTCATATATTCTTTCAGGAATTTCAAATCAATTTATGTCATATTAGACAATGGAAGTCCGAACTGATGAAATGAGGGAAAACAGAATTACAGCTGTACAGGTAGAAAACCGTCATTGAATGTTACCGACAAATTATCTAATTCAAATGCATGTGTGGGGCATTCCAAACTAACACGTTACGAAACCGTAATACTCAGTCATCGGAAGCTAGCCACTCGCGCCAGCGAAACGTCAGGAAGAAATTTAAAGAATTAACGGCCTTCTAACCCGAAAAAAAGGAAACAGAAGACCTCGGCCGTGAAAGCGTTAACCATTCTGTCAACATACAATGTATATTCTTATGATGCACTGTTTGGAACCTTTGGTGTAGTAATGAATATTACTGAAGTTTTTTCCGAACACCAAATCGTTATTTTTAACACCTCGACACGTGTTTCGATCACCNTCATTGTTCAATGTCGTGTGAGACCTATAGTGCAGTAATCAAATAAAATAGAGACTGTGTTTTGAACTAGGAAACTCCGCAGTTATTCCTCAGTAAGTATTGCTATGGATTATTGCCGTGGCTATAAATCAAAATTCATAGGAAACGATGATCATTTCTGTTAAAACAAAAAATGATCATTAAAAAAAAAGAGAAATAGCATGTATTTTTTAGGCGATGCCTGGATTATATGCCATACAAAAGAAACTATTGTGAGAGTTATATAACGCGATAACTATGAGCTGATTTTTGTGAGTATCTCAAACAATTCTAAACGAAATTGAACAGTTCAACCCAAAGCATAACAAAGTAATATCTACATTACGTAATATAGACATACACGTATTTTGAAATGAATCACCAAAATGAACTATAATGTATATTGAAACCGGATGCTTTCAACAATGAATAATACTAACTGGTTATTATATAATTCCAAGAAATGGATACCGACAAAAAGAAATGTTCGTTCATTAACGGGA